ATTTGACTAAATAAGAAAAATGAATTGACATAGTACTGTATTTAGAAATCATTGAAAGAACCGATTTGTTAACCATGGAAACATAGCAGAGTCATAGAACGCCACCAAGTAGAAGGTTGTATTACCCAGACAGCACACTTTCTCCTCAGGACATCCCACGGATATTGCGACAGGATATGCAAGATATCCCATAGTGGTCCTATGGTCAACCTGGGATATCCCAGGATATCCACAGGAATGCGTAATGTCCCCGCCCGGGGATGTCCTAAGGATAAGCTCACACGCATATCCGTGGGACATCCGAGGTCATCCCAGGGTAGTCCTCAGGACATTCTCAGGACATATGGGACTACTATGGGATGTCCCTGGGATAAAGTGTGGTCTGGGCCTGAACATAAAAAACACAAAATAATATAGATTTAGTATGAAAAGCTTAATTATAAGTTTAGTAAATTGATTAAATAGTTAATAAACACAAATTTTGAAGAAAAAGGAGAAAAAAGTTTTTGGCCCAGACGGGTCTCGAACCTGATAGCTTCGCCTCATGAGCCTCTTACCTTACCTCCTGAGCTCTCTGCGCTTGATGATTATGGGTGTTTTCAAGTGGTGAAAGAGTAGCCGACAGTTGCAATGGTCGCAATACTTATATTTTTGATACTACAGTATATAATATGATTCTGTTAATCTGTTTAGGCCTCAAGTAGTTGAATTGTTTTTCTGGTAGTTGGAGAGGATACTGGTATTTGAATATAGATTATTTAATCACCATTAGATTAGCACTGTTATAATTGATTGTTATATGATTAAAATTAGTTTTTGGTTGTTTTATTAATTTAAAGTTAGAATTAAATTCACATTTCACACAACTATGATAGAACTCTAGTTTTCCTGAACTCAGTGGTAGTAATATGTCAGTAAAGTAAAGTCAACCCTTGCTAGCCATAGTATTAACAAGACATATTTTCAAACTGGGAAACCTTAAACTTTTAAAATAAATTATAAAACCTCAACATCTTAATGCGTGGGAATCTTATTTTTAGAAAAAAAAACAGACTAAAATTATTTGTTAAATAATGAAGACGGCCCAATTATAAATTCGGAATTACTGAAAATAATTACATCAAGAACAACACTGTAACATATCCAACATTCAAAAGATTAATTTTTCTAATATTATTTTTTATTTTTCCAATATCCTTTAAATCATCTGTTTTAACTTTGTTTAAAATTAATTTATTAAGTAAATATTTACTTTTTGTACTAGTGTAAACACAGCCTGAAGATGGAAACCAAGTTTCTGAAAGCACTAGTGAAAAAAACAAATAATTATATATTGGCCTTATTGAACATTTAAATTTAGATATACATTTCATCAGTGGTAGTATTTTTTTTCTTCAGTTTGTTACCGGGACATTAAGTTTACGGGACATTACAGGATATCCAGTGGATTTTGTACATGTCCCGGGATGTCATGGGACATTCTGGGATATCCTATGGCATTCGTACATATCCCGGGACTTTACAGGATATCCTGAGGTTAACTTACAAATCCCGGGACATTACGGTATATTGTAGGATATCCTGTGGATTTCGTACTCGTCCCGGGATTTTTCGGGATATCCTGAGGATAGCGTACATATCCCGAGACATTCTCAGGACATATGGGACTACTATGGGATGTCCCTGGGATAAAGTGTGCTGTCTGGGTAATAGTCAAAGGTAGAATAAATAGAGATTTAAAAAAATGATTATCGTCATCAACCTATGTAATGAAGAACACATACGGCTACAGTATGAAGATTCCCACAAACAATAAACAAGGATGTTAGCCGAAGTGCTACTATTTGTAGGAAACATGGACTTAACTTTATGATGATTGGCAAAGGAAACCCCTCTAAGTCTGAATTAAACTGGTACGGCAAGGACATTAATCTAAATATATAAAAGGCAAAGCCCTCACTGACTGACTGACTCACTCACTCACTCACTCATCACTAATTCTCCCACTTCCCATTTACCTAGGAGGCTGAAATTCGGTACACTGATTCTTTGGGCATTAAATAGGAAAACTAAGTGGTTTTTATTCTGATCGGGCTTTCCGGCTCCGCCCCAGTGGCTCTGGAGTTTCCCATGTTAACCTTATGATTTTTCATATTTAAAAGGAATAAATGAATCTTAACAGCTGTTTCAATTAAACAAGCTGGTTCTGTTATATGATGTTCAATAGCATTAAATTTACAAGGATTACCAACAGGGTGCAGCACTATTATTTTTTTTAATTTATGACAACAGCTAATTTGCAACCAAAAGGTGAGTGAGCGTAGCGAACGAACTTCAACCTGGAGGCGAGTTAGCGTAGCGAACGAGCTAACCTGAAGGCAAGTGAGCGCAGCGAACGAGCTCCAACCTAAAGGTGAGTGAGCGTAGGGAACGAACTTCAACCAGGACGTGATTGAGCCATGCGAACGAGCTCATATTGAAAATTAAGAAGTTAAACGGAGCAAAGCACGCGGGTACAGCTAGTCATTAAATATATGTTTTCATAAAAGTCGAGTGAATTTTAAAAAATGTGACTACATCCTAGCAACCACTTTCATTGAAGGATTCGCATTATTCACATTTAAGGGAAAGAAAAAACCATCAGAACGACATTAGGCCTTTACATTCTGCATTTATTTACGATATAACAGTAACTAGCCAAACGAATGTCAATTGATGCAAAAAAAATTGCGACAGAGAGGTTATGCAGAAAATCAGGTAGTTCTTAGTCATGTAAACAAAATGTTATCGCTATAAAAGATTGACTGAAATTTGTAAACGTACTGGCGACAATGGGTGGTACCATGCAGACTACATTATCATTGACGAAGATCAACATGGACAACCTAATGAGGCTATAAGTGGGAAACATTTAAAAAACCAGATCAGCTTTTGAAAAATGATAAAATATTTACAAGAAATGTTTATTACATGGAACTGTTAGGTACGTAATCTATGAGTTGAGTCTTTTAAGCTCATCGGAAATTATGATGACTTTTATTTGTTTTTAAATAATTATTTTATTTCTTTGCAATTGCTCGAATTCGAGCAACATGTACTCTAGTAATCATTGATATCGTACCAGCGTGTATGGGTACGTTAACAAAAAGCTGTTAAGAGCTGTAAGACTGGTTGATATCAGTAAATTTAATAATGACGCGTTATAACACTCGTTTCGTTAGATCTTACATTGAATCATTAAGAAAATATATCCCCTGAACAAATATGACTTAGTATGCTACCTTATCAATTACTTAAGCTTGAGTGGGGAATATTGTGATTAATTTGAGTTAAGAGTATTAACTATCCACTATTATTTATTGGGGTACTCAGAACGAGCTTCAATCTGATATAACCTCGATGGTACATACGCAAAATTTAAGATTATGCTTGCTTGTTGCTCATAAAACATAATTTAATGTTTCAGTTATACAGTTTGCTTATTTAGCATCTTTCAGTCTTTAGTTTTCATGTTTTTTACTTTCTTCCCCTATACATAGTAGATGGAAAAAGTATTGTTTTCGTCAAAAATTTCGGGTTTGAGTTTTGAGTGGATATATCCGCTTTAGCCTGCTGAACCCAAAAAAGTAGTTTTCGAAGTGATGTCTGTGTTGGTGTGTGTGGAAGTCTACATAGCTGCAGACCACACCTGTTTTCCGATTTTGATGAAATTTGGTACGTAGGTACTAATTCATCAATAAAATAACAAAAATTGGATTTGAGGAAAAAGGCCAGTTTTGATTACAATTAATATATTATGTTAACAAATGGTACATATCCCATGACCGTAAAAAGTACTGTTCAAAAGTTATCGTAACTTATTTTGTTATTTCCCAGAAAACCCCCATAAAACAACAAAATATCGGATTTTAGGAAAAACCTGTTCTGATTAAAATTAATGTGTTATGTATGGTCCATATAATTCTAAACAAAAATAGTGCAACCCCCATTGCTGTAACAATTACGGTTCAAACGTTATTACAACTTTTGTGATTTATCCCTATAGAATATCATAGTTACTCCCACCGCTTACCCATGATAAAGGTTGTTTACAAGCTTATTATGGGAGAAAGTATGTTTCAGTTGGCTGATACCGTTTATTTTATTTATCTCGAAATTAGAAGAATCCTCAACAATAAATCAAAGTTTTGCCGGTTCGATCCCGAGAAATGTCAGTAGCTCCTTGACAGTTCGAAACTGGACCCGAACTGGTGGCGACTTAGAGTTGCCACACGACAAACGCCATAGGCCCCCAGTTCAATCATCTGTACCATAGATTGAACACACTGTTAGTAGGTCTATGTTCATACTGAAGAACGCAAAAGGGGTTGGAAGTGTTGAACAATACTGTTAAAATTTGCAATAGTCATACAGTTATTGCACATAATGGCTTTAACATATCATGAATTTATTTAACACATGTACTGCTTTACAAGAAAGAGTAAACGTTTTGGTCCGTAGCTTGATAACATTATTACATCAAAAAATTGAAATGGAAAGTGATTGTGTTAGTAAAGGGGAGACGTTAAATGAAAACGTTACTTGAGTATGTTTTTCAGCCTGTTGAAGTATTCCACACATTAACATGTACTCGTACCTAAAAAAAAATTGAACTTTACTGCAGAGATGATGGATAGAGAATTTAAGAAAGGCATACTTGACAAGACTTGATATTTCCAATTATACAGATAAAATTCAATTTTTGGCAAACAAATTTGGGGAATACACATTGTTTGTCTGCTTTTAACAGAGAGTAAGAAAAAATAAAATCTTGGGGATATAGTTGTATGGTAAGGTGATATGATGTTGATGATGATGATGATGATGAGATGTTCAAAATTAAAATGGTGGTTTTTAGCTGTCTTAACGGAAATATTAATTAATTGGTTACCTAATGTCCATAGTAAAGCTTTGTAAGTTTGTGATTTATGATGATGATACGACAGTGTGGAGGTACTCACATGCAGCGGCAGCAGCGACGGGGTCTGGGCGCTAGACGACCCTCTCACAAGCTGGAGCGATCATGGAGGGGAGCTCCCGGAATAACTTTGGCGTCTTGCTCCACTCATTGTTCAAAACCACCCGCCGTTTGTTCTCTGGGATTCCCATTGATTTTTCATTTAACCATTTAATTATCAGCCATGGTCGATGAAATACCTACGTTTTGGAACCTTGGTGGATAAAAATGCCAATTTTCGTCATTGTTTAAGTGGCGTTCTCGATTTTATTCGTTGCACACATTTTTTATTCGTTATTTAACTTAATCTTTCGGTACAATAATGTTTGATATTTGTGTAAAATGTTTGCAATTTGGTCCGAAGCTTTATCGTCATATTTGATGGTATGAGTTTTGTGACAGGGTTTTACATTGAGACGTATAAAATTACAATAAAGAACAGCCATTGGCTCACCGTGTGATCTTGATGGTAATGAATTATTATGTAAGATTCAGATTGTAATATGTAATACTCAAAAATGGTTAATCTCAAGGGCTTTTGTTTGCTTCTCTTTAAGTTTGGGTGAAGACAGGCTAAACGATTTCTGTTCAAGTGAACACCAATCAAATACAGTATATGCAGATATCGAAAGGGTGTTAAGTATAGTTCATGCTTTGTTAATGGCCATGGCAATAACTGTTTAATGAACCGTCCTAGGTTACTAAAGCAATTCCCAAAGTCTTATTTTCAATATTAAAATAAATGTTTCGTAGCAATTGATCATGAAGTTACTTCTATATAGCACTTTTATAAATGCATGTTTAATCGCTATTTATCATATCAAGTTGTTGTTGTTATTGGAGAAACTTAATATACAATATATTAACCGAACGTAACTGACTACAGCAATACATAACAACTGTCATAAACTACTTTGATCTCAGGTGAGCGCTAAACTCCGACCATCGTGGAACATTATAGCCAACAAATCTGTCGACACGAGGACGGCCCTCAGACTGGCACCGGAATATTTATAAATCAACCCTGAACATTTCTTCATGAAATATACTGTAGGTATCATATAATTAGATATAAATGTGTAGTTGTGAATCAAGAAAAGATTCAAGTTGTAATATTCAATAGTTTTTCGTGCAACGCTTGGATCAACTTTAATGCTTAATTTAAACATAAATGCCGGAGTGTATGTACACTATTGAGGAAATCTAAAATTCAAACCCGTGACTGCAAAAAAATTTATGTTTATTGGTACTTTTACTCTTTAATTCGATAAAAATAACAATACCCTTCAGGGTCGAATACAAATTTGAAACGATTAAAAATCAAAGCAATAGACCTAAACCCAGTTGTGTATGATAGTTTATACTTTACAAATCACAGGAAATAGACAAAGGTATAATTGAATTTTTTATAATGATATACAAATACTAAGGCGTGTATTTTTGTAGTAATACACATATACTTTGGTTTAGTTTTTATGCTGAGGCATATCGTGTGGTTTGTATTTTTTACGCTTATACATACATACTTGCATTGCAACTTCTTGTAGGCTGTACTTTTTATACTCTATTCCATGTCGATCTATGAAAAACATCCATTGCAGACGTTCTATCAGCTTCAGAGAAGGCCGTGTCCTTTAAATAAACAGTCTTTCACTATTTGATGTTGAACCGTCAGGTACTATCAAGGTACTATCCGAATGATCTATTCTGGGTACTAGATTCATTCAGGTGACACCAGCACTTTTACGACCATACCCTTATCTAGTTTTGGCATTTGTGTAAAAAAGATCCGGGAAAAAGGTCAGAAAAAGCCTAATACAAAGACAATCTAATGGTTTATTTTGTACAAAAGGTACGTATAAAATAACAACATGTTGAGGTATCCAAAGTATGAAAAGAATGATTAACAATGAAATGTTTACATCTATTTATTGATGTGTCTAGTCTGGGCCAAGATAGATGAACACTGCTACTATGATGGCGGATCCAATCGCTATCGACATCAAGGCATAAACATAGCGTCTCTCCATCGTATCTGGGCTAAAACAATGGTCAAATGTTCAATTAGTATCTGAGCCAAAAATTGCAAGTAAAATGTTTACTTTGTTCTCAATTCACATTAAACAAGTTAAAGTTTAAAGTCAATAAATGAAGGCCACATGTAGGTAATATTGTACACAGAACTTAGCATGTAGCTAATCTGTAGGCGGTTGCAAAGCGAAGTCACGCATTTTTAACAAACTAGTTTCTTAGTCTGAATTAATGCAGAACAAAATAAGCACAAACTGGAGGACCATCAACTAAAACGAATCTAAATTTAACAACATACAGTTCGACAATAGCACCATAAACGTAATCTAAAAAATTATTGACAACTCTAGACACACGATGTATTTTCTCTATAAACATGACGTATTTTGAATCATTTAGAAAAGGCAGACTATTAGTTGACGAGTTCTTATTTTGTAGCGGTTACTAAAGACTATGAAATATAACAAATAGCATCCGGAGGCTGAACATTGTGCGGTTGACCAGAATCATCTGTTTGGGACAGAAATAACAGAAAAGCGACCAGCATCAGTGGCGTCACCGGTCATCAGGTCAATGAGGCTGATAGACTTGATGGTCAGCTGTGACTATACAACAGCTGTGACTATCTACAACATCAATCGTTTACTGGACACTGGCTTGAGCTACCAGCCTACAGTATGTATTGCAAATTATAAAACATCCTAATTATTTTGAAACAGTACTTACGATTTTGACAATTCATATTTTAATTTATGGTATTTTACTATCAACCAATACAACATTAAATTCTTACTAAATACACTAAAGGTACAAAATGGTTTGACAATTTCACCAAACCATTCATTTCTTCAAACACAAAACAGGAAAAGTTTTATTGTGATTAGCGATATAAAACCCAAATAAAATAGTCATATCAATCTTGTATAAAAACTTATGAAAGCAAAATACATTTATTAAAAGCATATTGCGTAAGGTAAATTTTAAACATCAGATGGAAACGACAACAACAATTATCTCATTAGGTTGATTAAAGTTGGTTTATTGACTAGAATATTTAATCTATAGAACTAAAGTCTTCTGTAAATCTTCGTTACTTTAAAATAAATAAAAAATACCTACAAACACTTGTACTGATGGTCTCAGATCCATATATGAGACAGCTTAATAAAGTTGAAATATTAGCTTGCCTTAGAGGAAGACGGAACTTCAGAAAACATTAAGCACAGTACAGATGAAAAAATACACATAAGAGAGAAACGTCTTAGTATCAATGAAATGACTCTACTACTAAATAACTTAGTAGACATTACTTCATAGGTAACCTATGGTTTAATGCACATGTACAAGATTGTACAAGATTCGTCTGGATTTGGTAATGTTGTTAAATGCCAGGTTCTATTCCATTTAAAGATATCATCATATGCCATATAAAAAATATATGGAACTTTCATTTACACATTCAGTTAGCCAATAAACTATTACAAAGACTAGAAAATTCACAAAACAGTATAATGTCACTATCATCAACAATGAGCATAGAACAAGAGGCCTTTCCCCTTCCCTTCCACCCATCGGTAAGTTGTTGTGTATACCATTTCCAGAAAATGTTTCTTTCTTACATGCACGTTACTTGTTAACGTGGTTAGACTACTTTACAAACCACACAGACACTTACCATTCACTATACAAATACATACATGTATATATAATCAATGCTCTTACTCTGTTAGCGAAGGTCAGAGAAAGAAGTAAATTAGTCCAAACAATGTGAGGACCGTCACCACCAGCAAGAATAATAATACTGGCTTTGGTAACATCTGAAATATATCTTTATGATTATCCAACGTAACATTTGTAAGCTTATACATAAATTGGTTGTTCTGCCCGTGCTTCGCAACGGGGCAAGAATACTTACGAGAATAATGTGGGTCTCGAAATATACTCACACACTTACCATGCTATATATACAGACAAATCTCAACCGTACTTAATGATTTTTTAAATCAAAATCTTTTGTGAATTTCCGTTGGGGGTTCCACCCGCTGGCTGTTGCCACGTTAACATGGTCCTACAAAAAAGAACCACTTGACATTATTAAAGTGTTTATTCAGTTGAAATGAACTGTAAAATATTCATAAAGTCAAACTATGCGCTGGGTGAACTGAAACTTTTCTGGGTGTGTCAATTGTAATTTTTCTTTAAGTATTTATAAAATCATTTTGAAAATCCGCAAATTAGTCTTTTTAACGTGTGATTTTAACTTCTAAATAATAGTTACAAATTCATTTTCCCCCATCCATTACAAGCTCTGGTATGTTAAGAGCACAAAAAGCACACAATAATTTGAAACAAATTAGTTTTAGAATGTTAAGAGCTTTTACAATAGAGGCATGTTCAATCCCGGACCATATCTCAATCCATATAATCCGCCATCTTGTATTGAAATTCAGGCTGCCGGGTAGAACCCCCTTAGGCTATGTGGCAGAATCAAAAGAAAGTGTTAACAAACTATAAATTTAAAAAACTAGAGTAGTCCGGCAGAATTGACCCGAACCTGGTTTTGTCCTATTAAGTTTTTTTTATTGTTGAAATGTGATATCTAGGGTAAGTAGACCCTAAATTCACCGGGTACTTTTTTGGTACCCTTGGGCAACAGCCGCCATCTTGGAAAATGGCGGGAAACGTAATTTACAGTGTAAGCTTTTACTTAAACCAATGTAATTAAACAACTATTTAAGCTAGAGCAATGCAAGTTATTTTTAAATGTTTATGGTTAAATTTCCTACTCAGAAATACTATATATTAAATATATATAATTTGTTTCAAGGTCAGTATTACTTTTCAAAGTTTATAATTTATAAAACAATAATGACATATTTCTTTTTATTTCAATTTTGCGCCTTAATTACTCAAAATATGACTATAATGTATATTATAAAAATTGTAAAGCTTTAAATTTGGCATCAAATACATCTATTGGATGCTTTGTTGGATCAAGGGTAACGCCAGAACAAAGCATTAGAAAATAAATTTGTTTATTGATTTTCAATAAAAAATAAGGATATTATATATGTTCAATAGAATTCTAACATCTTTCCTGAGACCATCCGGTACTTCTCTCGGACTGTTTTTGGTATTAAAATGTTTGTAAAATTACCAAATTTAATTTGAACTATCAACTATTTATATTTAAGGACATCAAAGGCCAATCTTTTCATCTCCAATCCAAAGAAAATTTTTTTTTCAAAATGAAAGTTTAAATTTTGATCAACCCATTGAGTTATTATTATTAAATGTTGTATGTATTGCAATAAAACCCCTCAGTAAACAACTGGCTTCCATTTGACATGTAGATCACTGAAATCGAACGAGTTGGAGGTGAATTCAAAGACTTCAACTAACAAAGAATTTAATGGTTGCATAATTTTCTTTGAAATAAAAGATTGTTACTTTGAGTACTGATTATGGGATGTTATATTTTTTTATAATAAAATACTCAACAAACTGGTGGCTTTCATTTGAGGCATTGTTCATTCAAATCTATCGGGTTTGAGGGGATTTATAGAACTTTAACCAACTTTTTAGTTTTTCCAAGATTTGTCTTTAATTAAAGATATTATCTCCGGTTATAATTACGCCGTATGAAATGTTATAATACTAGAAATACTCAGTGAGTTACTTGCTTTAATTTAAGCCATTGACTATTCAAATCGGCTGAGTTGAATATGAGTTTTGGACCCCCAAACAACAAAAAAATTGATTTTTTTACAATTTATCATTAGGTAATAATTGTGTCTCGAGTTATTTTTACGTGATATTGTATATTGTGGTATGGGAATACTCAGTGAGTTAATGCGGTTCTTTTGAGCTATTATTTATTGAAATCCAACGTGTTTCGGGGGAGTTATAAGCCTAAACGTAGAATAAGAGTTGATTTTTCTTAACTTTCTTCTGTATTTAAAGACATATGTCTCAGCTGCTATGTGTACTATGTTATTCGTTCTGGTCTAAAAACACTAGTCAACTTAGAACTTTCATTTGAGACAATTTTCATTTAAATATGTAGAGTCTAAGGTGAGTTGTAGACCTCTAACTAACATTAGGTTTTCAATTTTTCAATTTTTCAAAGGACTGTCTTTAATTAAAGATCTATATTTTAAGTTCTAAATGAGCTGTGTTATTCATTTTGGTGAAGAAAACCTCAGTCAACTATGGTCAAACTCAAATATGAACCTTGTTCAATATTACTTAAGTAATATTTATAATTAAACAAGATTAACTTGGATAATATTAATACACCATGCTTAAGCATTGAAGTACATTTATTACATCCTCATAAGTTAGTTCTTCTTACATTGAGTTACAAAAATAGTACACCCGACACCACAGCCTTATGTATCATAGAGTCCTTTAATAGCAAAGGTAGGCTACTATATATAAAGATATTATAGGCTATACTATTATGTAACATCCTCCTTTTTTAATCAAAATGATTTAAATCCATAAAGACAAATGTTGATTAAACAAATGAACAGACAGACTTAAACATATTCCTTCAAATGGTTAGGCTTTCTGATGGTTCGACCGAATCTAGTGGTTTGGTTTGTTACTGGCCTATTAGGTAAAACATTAGGTACTGGTACTGGTATGTTAACATTATTCTCAAACTCATTCTGATTAGGCCTTTCAATATTTTCTAACCCAAAATTAGTTTGTGCGATTAGATCAGAATAATCAGACTGAATAACCTTAGAATAACACTTTCTTAACATAATTCTATTTCTACGATACACTTGACCATATCTATCCTGAACAACATAACTTCTGGGGGGAAAGTTTAACTTTTCAATGACTTTACCACTTATCCACTCTTTACCTTTTTGAATCAAAACATTATCACCTTTATCAAAATGACATAGTGACTTTGATGTCCTATCGTAATACAACTTAGATTTTTCATCTAACCTATCTCTGTTGACATGAACTATTTTTGGATTTAATGCCTTTGTATTTATAGGCATTTTTGACTTCAATACTCTATTTAAAAATAACTGTGCTGGACTAACATTAACATTGTTAAGGGGAGTGTTTCTATAATCCAATAGCAACAATTCGATATCTTTACCACTGTCCTTTGCCCTTCTCAACAGATTTTTGCATATCGCCACTGCTTTCTCAGATCTACCATTACTTCTTGGATAAAAAGGACTACTGGTCACACTTTCAAAATTATATTCATTTGCAAACGATTTAAACATGTGAGAACTAAAAGGAACATTATCTGAAACAAAACGATCTGGTACGCCAAACTGCGAAAAAATATGTTTTAGAACTCTTATGACACTGTTAGCTGATTTGTCAAATAGCTCTCTTAATTCTACCCAGTTAGAATAAGCATCATTTACAACTAAATAATTTTTTCCACCATACTCTAGTATGTCACTATATACAAACTGCCAAGGCCTAGTAGCCTTTTCATGATTTAACAATGGTTCTTTGCCATTTGCAAACCTATATTTTTCACATATTTGACAACTTAAAACTAGGTTTTCAATGTCTCTGTTTATGTTAGGCCAAAACAAAATTTGTCTTGCTCTAGCTTTGCATTTAACTACACCATTATTCCTATCAAGTTTTTTTTTTTGGTGTTTGATATACACCAGTGAACAGAATTGAAAAAGATGTTGTTGCGTGAGCACAGGCTTACCTTCCACAGTATTTTGCCATTGTGGATATAATAATGTACCTTTTTAAAAAGAAAGAGACAAACTCAAGATGACAGTGAAGACTACGACAATGTAGAATAATGAGTTAATACCCCCGCTGCAGCAAACCTTCAGACTAAGCGAATTACCATTTGCCTGGATTGGTTTTCAATTAATCTATTAAAATAACATGTTTAACGAGTACCTAGGTTTGCTGCTACAGGGAAACTAATAAAGTGTGTTTTTTTATTAAAATATTAATAGATTGGTAAAAAATAAATAAATCTGCCATGTTTGATCAAAATATATCCAAAAACAAGCCAACTACAACATTTTACAATATTCTCCATAAGAATAACATGGGAATTTTAAATTAACTAGTTTTTATATTTTCCATAATATATATATATAACAAATTTGAACGAATAGTGTTTTTGGCCTCTGTGGACATCAAAATGAGAAAGTAAATCGGTCCCGGGCCTGGGTCTTACCATGGGACCTACGGTAATACTCGTAGCTACTTCCCCATAGGGAATTTGCTAATAGTCACTAAGGTTACTGAAACATTATTAACAAGTTATTTTTTCATATAGGCCTATTATATAAGTTACAATTTTACACGAATAAAATATTTATGTTACAACACAAAATAATAAAACTCAACTATGTTGAAATAAATTGTTTAACATATTGTCTTTTTCAATGTAACCAAGCATAGGCACAAGTGCTACGGGAATTCAGCCAACTTTAAAATCGAGTATTATTATTACATGTCATAATAATGATGTAAAGAATGTGTCTTGCTAGTAACTTAAAAAAGCTCGGGTTTAAATTGGCGAAACTTATATTTTGTTTGCTAAGAGGTAACACTAAAACAAGGTCGTATACCAATTTTTTTAATTGGGCAAATGCAATTTTTAAAGATAAAAACCAAGTTTTCCGCCACCATTTTGAAACAGCTTGACTGATATGGCTAATATCTGGTAAATTTTTAGTAACATTGTAACGAGGTTTCATGCAAAATTTCATGATGTTCGAACTAAAAACGCATAAGTTATAGCTTAATTACTTTAATTTTAAATTAATCTAATTATTTATTAACACGGACAGTT